TTTTAGTTTGAAACTGACCACACACCTCGGAGGGGCCTTGGAAGTCCCAGGCCAGGCAGACAAGGCCAAGGCCTCACGCTGAGGCAGGGAGGGCGGCTGGAGGGACAAGCCCTCAGGACAGGCCCGGATGGGAATTCAGGAAGGGACATGAATTCTGGACTGATAGCTGCGAAAAAACAAACCACAACTCTCTTCAGTAAACTTGGTGAAATATTATTTTGAAAATAGTACCTCCCTTTGAAAAAAGAAACCGAAGCCAAGCATGCTCTTTCTGGCACAGTCACCTCTGCTTGGCTTTTTAAAAACCACTGGAGCAAACACGTGGGCTCCGTAGGGCCGCTGATCCCGGCCGCTTTCCTGCGAGGCAGAGCCTCAGGGTCTGCCACCCTATCCAGCGGCGTGTCTGCAGATCACTCCTCTGTGACCCACAGCCTTTTTTCTTCTTGATTTTTGAAGACAATGAACTTTTCATTCTAACATTATTTTTAAGCCAAGCAAAAATCTCCAAGAGCAGGATGTGATCACACGCGAGAATGGCACAGCAAAACACAGCAGCGGAGAGCTGCAGGGAGGCGCGGCGGGCGCCCGGGCTGGCCCAGGGCTTGTGTGGGAGCCTGAAGCAGGGGGTGACAGTGAGGGTGACGGTGGCAAGACGATGCCAACGGGGACGGAGCTGTGGATGGAAAAGGTGTTCTATGGAGAGCAGCCTCACAGCGGGGCCCGGTCGTAAGCCCCCACCCGGGCAGGAGGCAGCGAGTGGTCGCGCCCGGGCCTGCACATTTGTAGCGAGAGCCTCGTCTTTGCCTGAGCCAGCCCTGTCCACCGTTCCTGTGCACCTCCGATAACACTCCTGTGGAATAGCCACCTCAAGAGAGCAGACGACCTTGTTAACGACCCTGTAATCCAATCCCCGGGATGCTTTCTCGCCCCTCCATGGAACCTTCCTTGTTGCAAATGCACAAAGCAGATGCCAGCTGTTCTCAGGAGCATGTGAGAGCATCGTCCCCAACCTACGAGGTCGGTGTGCCTCGACTAAACTCAAAAACTTCTCCACAGGTTGGGACGTTTTCTAACATGGACAGTGATGGCGGCGACAGTGGCGGTAACAGGAGGCTCCCCTCAGCGTGTGGTCCCAGGAGAGCAGGGGTCTGTGGACCCGTACTAGCAGCAGGCAGGCTGTGTCCAGCCCAGGGGCCCCAGGACTTCCTGCGGCCGTGTCCCATCACCTCCCTGGGCCTCAGCCCACACGTGTGGCTAAGAGGAGGCCGGAGAGGGGGCATGGCCCTGACCCACTTCTGCTGCTAGGCTGCCCGGTCCCTTACCAAGGCCAAAGGCAGGGAGGGAAGTCTCTAGAAAGAGCAACAACAACCCCCCAAAACTGAGAAATGATTCTGCAGGACAATGTTTTCTCCCTTCCTTAGGGAGCCAGCACCTGGAGCTGCGGCTTTCTCGTCCCGTGGCACGCCTGAACTAATTACTAAAATGCGGCGGCACATGAGAGAGTATCTTCTGCTGCTTTGACCACCTCCCCCCACCCCCCAAAAATAGGTGTAATTTTAATCCATTCACACCAGACAGCTATTACTGTGTGTGTTGTCTGTGGCCATTTTTTTATTTGACCATCTCAGGGAAAAGAGGTCAGTGCCCCGACTTAAGAGTCCAGTATCGCACCTTTTAAAAATGCGTGCGGTGCGCTGGGTGATATCTCTGCCCCGAATACAGAACACGTAGCCAGACTCAAAGATGACACAGTCGGCCACACAAAAATGATACTTCCCATTGAATGCTTTTGAGGAAATGTACAACCCCTCATTGCAGCCTTCGATCTTCTGGACAACCCTATGGCCCAGGACAGACAGGTTCTTGACCACAAGAGACCAGGGTTTTCTTTTTTGCAATGAGGGACAAAGGTCACTTGGCAAGGTGGCTGCCAGGACAGCGCTGAGCGGTGGTTAGCGAATCCACTTCCCAGGAGGAAGGGGCAGCACGGAGACGGGCAGACAGGAGACGCTGTCGGCACACCTGAGGCCGGCAGTCCTGTCCCTGGTCGCAAGGGCCCGGCAGGCCCTGGCGCCCCCGCCAACGCGTGGTGGAAGGCCTCACTGCCACGCCACAAGGGCTGAGGAGTCTCTCAGAAATGCTGTCCCGTCTCGTCCCACCGCCTTTCCTGGCCGCCGTGAAGGCACGACAGTTCAGAGATAATCTCCAACAGTTCCTCCCTGGTAGCTCTCTCCAGAATTCCAGGGAGCTCCTGCAGAGGTGGGGCTGCCTGTGACCTGGGGGAGCTACCAAATGCTCACCACTTAACCACACATTTACTTTAGGTCAGTAATCTGTGATTTTCACAGTAGTAAGTCTCGAGTTTATTAAATGTGGTATTCCATAGACATCTCAAATTCCTCAACCTGAGCTCGAAATCCACCCCTTCCCCTCCACGCGGCTCAGGACATGGGACTCTCCACGTGACCTGGTGTTCAAGCTGGAAACACGGGGCATATATCCTCCTCCCGCCTGCATGTGGGCGTCCCCAAGGCCACAGTCCCCCACCCTGGGCCTCCTCCCTACAGGGGGAGCCTGCACGCCAAGCGGGGTCAGGGGCCGCAGGCAGTGGGCGAGGGCTTCCCATCTGAGTCAGTTCCGGCCTGGCCTCCAGCTCTCCTCACACTTCACGTCCTCACCCCCGACCCCCGGGCTGTTCCTCTGAGCGCCAAGCACTCCTGCCTCTGGGCCTTTGCACTTGCTGCTTCTGCTGCCTGGAATGCTCTTAAGCGTTCAGAGCGGCCTTCCCTAACCACCTTGATCCCCATGTTTCTTCACAGAATGTAGCCCCCCTTAAATGTGTTTTCTTTCTCTCCCTCTCCTACAAGCTCTACAAGGACTCTGCGTCTCTCAGTTGCTTACTCCTGGCCCCAGGGACACCCTTGGTACACAGTAGGTACAGGACAGAGAGCTGCTGAGGGAATGAACCCCAACCCCCAGCCCACCCCAGGCCTCAGCTCTGAGGCCCCTTCCTCGGGGACCTTCCCTTCTCCCCTACCACCCCGCCTCCCCACAGAAGGAGTCACTCCTGGTCTCTTCCGTAGCCTCCTTGGATCTTCACAGTGCTTATCAAAGAGAGCCATTGCATATGTTCTCATTTAACAATTACCATATGCCTGGCCTCCTGGTCCAGGGGTCAGCAAACTACAGCCCCAGGGCCACATCCCCACGGCTGCGGCCGCCGCCTCCGTACAGGAAGCTTTGTGGACCCGTTGGTCTGCTGACCTGCTGATGCATCTGCGGCTGCTCCGGGGCTGGAAGGAGGGAGGGGCTGTAACAAGGGCTTTGTGGTCCGCACCGCTGAAGCATCTGCAGCACAGCCTTTTCAGAAAGCTTGCTGACATCTGTTCAGTTAGAGGAGGGAAGAGAAAAGGAACAGGAGAGGCCGCAGAGCAAAGGGCCCCTCTGCATGCCCGATCATCTCCCTCAGTAGCTCCGCTGTTTTCAGAGGCCTGACCGCTACTTCGTTCCTTTGTCACTGTGTCCGTCCGTTCCTGTTCTGCAAGGAAACAGACAAGAACGCCGAGGAACCTGCAGCTCCTGTCAGCGGGGGCTGGGTCCTGGCCCCGTCAGGCGCCACCGCTCGCCCGTGTTGGTGGCGTGCTCCCGTGCCAGGGCGTCGCCAGCGGCCCCTCTCACCACCCGCCCCTTGCCCGCCCCGCACAGGGTGCGCGCGCTGCAGTGCGGGCGCAGGCCCTGCTCCGAGTCTCACGGCCGACTGCTCTCCCCGGGCCCCGCCGTCAGGGGCCGGCGAGGCTCCGCTCAGCAGGGCCTGGGGCGCCGGCCCACCCCGGTGTGTCGGCCGCTGCCGTGGGAGCTGGGTGGGTCCCACGCATGAACAGCCAGGGGTTGTTGCCTGAGAAGGAAAATCAGAGGCTGCCCCAGACCCATAAAGCCTTCACCTCCATCTGGGGACCCTGCAGCGGAGGAGGGACCGGCTTATGTGAACGACCACTGCAGCCCACTTCACTGGTCGCTTTAACGGCTGCTAAAGATGCAGAGCTGACAACGGGCGAGTAATCAGAGCCTCTTAAGTCCTTTTTATGTTTCTTGTCCTTGATGTGCACCATGTGTTGAAAGGGGTTCCCCGTGTGCATGCGGAGGCTTCCCCACACGAACAGTTGGACGCCAGCAGGGTGCCTGAGAACTCAGCCCCGTTGTGACGCCAGCCGGTGAGGGGACCCGATTACAGAGGGAGAGGAAGAGGGCCCACAGGGCCTCCTGCGCCGCAGCACCAGGCGCAAGCCCGGGCTGGCCTGCGCTCCTGACCCACCAGGGAGGGTCCGACAAGCCCTCCTTGGGTTCCACTGATTTGCTGGGACGGCTCACAGAACTCAAGAAAGCCTGCTCACTCACTAGATCACGGACTTATTGCGAGAAATATGAAAGGGTATAAATCAACAGCCAGGTGAAGACACGCATAGGGCAAGATCTTGAAGGAGCTTCTGTCCTTACAGAGCTTGGGGCCCAGCCTGGCGACTTGTGGAACCTTCTCCTCTCCCAGCATGGAAGCTCTCCCAGAAAGGGCCCGGCGACTTGTCCTTTGTGGTTTTATGGCAGCTCCGTTACGTCGTCATGATCGACTAAGTCACTGGCCACTGGTGACTCATTCAACCTACAGTCCTCCTCACCCCCAAAGAAACCAGGGGTGCACCCGAGTTCCAATCCTCTAACCACAGTGGTTCCACTGGCCGCCAGCCCCCACCCTCGGGAGGGGTCCGAATTCAGCTTCACGAACATAACGAGAGGCACGGCGACCGCCCGCACTGAGGAAGCTCCCGGGGCCGAGGGCCTGTGCTGGGGTGGCCACGGCCAGACACACACTCCTTACTGAAGGGCCGCAACATCACATGTGGCCGCTGCGTCTCCATTTCAGCAGCTGCGTCAACAGTGAAGAGCTACACGTGAAGCTGGTAACAAACGCAGTCCCACAAAAGAAATGGGAGAAAAAAGAGGGGACATTTGGTAGTTTGCTAAATGTCCTGTTTATTTTGCAGTCACGGTTCAGAAATGTGGGGACACAGGTGCGGGTGAGGCGTCTGTGGAGGGTCCCCTCACGGCCGCACGTCACGAAGCAGCGCAGCGGCTCCTCTGCCCAGAAGCCGCCCGTCTCTGTCTACCGTGCACAGGGAGGACAGACGGCACGTGGCCCGCTCCTAACCTGCCGGCTAACACTTCTGCTCTAGTCTTTAAGCACGAGCGGAGCCTTCACCTGCTGGGCCACCTCCTTGCCGCTCAGCGCCTCAACAATGGCAAGGGCAAACTCGAAGCTGGTCCCCGGCCCCCGGCTCGTGAGGATCAGGCCATCCTTCTCCACGCGATTCTCTGAGTAGCTGTAATGACCTTGGGCGTAAAGATAAAAAAAGGGTTACATCCCAATGGGCTACGCTGGGCAATGAGCATCACTTGACAATTCAATTCCTTGTTACAGCCCATCACTGGCCTCACATAAACAGACTACAAGAACACCCAGCCCCCCAATCAGTCGTTCAAAAACAATCAGGCACCCCCAGCTCCCCACAGCACAGCAGGGAGATACGGAAGAAGCTGCCCAGCAAAGAGCGGGCGTCAGAACAGCTGGCGAAATGAGACGAGTAGACACATGTCAGAATGTGCAGCTGCCTAAGGCCTGCTAAGCACGAGGGATGGTGTTAATTGCTTCATTTGTTATACAACAAATGCTCAATTCTGTAACCTGAGGGGTGGCAGAACACACCCCCCCAAATGTGACTGCAGGGGTTCAGGATGTGCCACCCCCAAGTAGGCCCTTTGACACAGTGTTTTGAGCTGTGGTCACCGGAACAACAGCCAGTGCGGAGGGAGGCTCTCCCTGAGCCTCCTCGCCGGCCCCAACACAGCCTCCAAGAGAGGCTCGGGGTCGCAGGCCCTCCTGGGGGTCTCACTGACCAGGGGACACGGCCCCTTACTGCATGCAGGGGAGGAGGCCCGAAGCCGACCCCACACCCAGACAGACGGTGTCACCGACTGTCGCCCCTCCCCACCTCCTCTCCCAAGGGCCCACCCACCTTCCCTGAAAACCACTTCCTCTCCCTGACAGGCCTATCTCCCTCTCCCCGTTCACTTGGGATGGTATTTAAGTGCAAACTCTAAGCCACATTGAGAAGCTACTCATTTTCCCCTGCGTAGCTCCCATGTATACATGAGCTAGACATGTTAATAGACTTCTTTTAGTTCTTCTCTTGATAACATGTTTTTTATTACAGGACTGTAGGCCAAGAACTCAGAAAGGCAGAGGGTCCGCTGTCTCTCCTTCTCTACGGGGTGCTAGAGGGGAAGGCGCTGAGGGCGGAGCGGTGTTGCAGGCGCCCACGACCTGCATTAGGCACATGCTGGAAGAGCAGAGGCTGTGGAGGGGGCTCCCTTCCTTCCTTGGGGACCCTGTCCTGCCGCGCCCCTCTGCCGAAGGTGTTTCTGCAAAGACAGCCACGGGAGGTGTGCTTCTCTGACGTGCGGGCCAGACGCGGAGCACAAAGGTGTGTTTCCTCCGCACGGACTCCCAGGCTCCCCCGCAGTCATCAGACCCCACTGCGCAGAGACCCGGCCCCCTACGGAGAAAGCCCCCCCCTTACAGAGCACACCCCACCCTTCCTGTCCCAGGGAGCACTGCAGTGGCTGCTCCCAGGCCCAGAAGCTCTTCTTACCACCTGTTCCCTCAGAGTCGGCACCGAGAGGAGGTGTCTGTGACGCCCCCACCCCTGGTCCCTTGGATCACAGCACCCTCCCCACACTGACACAGCTTTGAGCCGATCGCCAGTCTCCTCGACTACTGTCCACTCTCTGAAAGGCTGGGCCCACAGGACTGACGGCCCCCGGGCACCCGGAGACTGAAGGTGCTCTGTGCCCAACACCCAGTGCCTTACCGGGGGCTCTGTGCATCTGCCCCCTCCTGGCCTCCCTTCCCCCACTCCACGCTCAGCACCACCTAAAAGGTGACCTCTCCCGAGTGCAAAGCAGAGCCTCTCCAGTCCCCTATCCCCCCAGAACCTGGGCCAACTTTCTCCAGTACCTAAAGATGACTCTGAGCTCTATGTCACTGGGTGTAAACCCTCTGGGGCTGGCCTGAGCTCAGAGACCAAACTGGATGGAACCAGAAAGGGGACAGAAAAGAACCTGCCACCCAGGTGGGGACGGTGGCAAAAAAGAGGAAAGGAAGGGGTGTGATACAGCCTGGAGAGAAAATGCCTAGAACCTAGTGAAGGGCATGGAAAGGCGTCAAAGATGACTCTCAGCTGCCTGTCTCAGGCAAGCAAGGGGGTGGGGGTGGCACCACGCAGTGACGTGGGACATGCAGGACAAACAGGTTTCGAGGAAGGGTTAGTGCTGGGGAGGGTCCTCTGAGGGACCTTGCCACGTCCTACCATTGCGGCTGGAGCAAGCACGCAGGCACCCCCTGCCGCGAGCAGTGCAGACCACGGCCTGTCTCCCCACCCGTCCCGGCGTTGGAGGGGGAAGCTTCCGGAGCCTGAGGAGGGCTCAGGAGGGGCTTGCTCAACGGACACACAGAGAAAACGTCCCCTACGGGACTTCCTGCAGAGCAGAGGCGTCATGCTTGTTACAATGGGCTTCATCCTTTCCAAGTGGACCGGCACCACCTGTGACAACTTGTCTTACTTTCCTCATTAAAAATCAAGTCACCCACTGAAGTAACAGAACACAGTACATCAAAAACCTCCTAGTTACACTCCTGTGGAGTTGAAGAGCATCCCTGGTGTGACAGGAAAGGTTTTCACAGACTAACCTCATTTGCTCATGGTTAAAGCAGGCCAAGGTCATTCAAATGCTAAACTAGAAAACCGGCTGAGCTGGGTCTTCCAGAGCTGTGGGCTGAGCTGCCTGCGCTGGGGCAGCAGGAGGCCCGATTCTACGTGAGTGGCTCACTGAACAATCGCTTTGCGAGTAAAATATTACAAATACCGCTTGAACTGGTTAAAGATGTTCAAAGATGCTCCACGGTGCTTTTCAAATTTACAGCCAGGAAGAGGAGTGGTCAGCGCTTGTCCACTACCGCCACCTGGTGGTGACCGGGAGGAAAACAGCACACAGCCGCACCGCTGATTTGGCGCTTGGCAAAGTCACGCCTCATAACCATTCTGGCACAGGGCATTAATTTCCTTTAATTCTAGGCAAACAGCCCAAAGCCAGAAGTCTCCAGAGGTGAAGCACCTGGGGAAGCCAGGGGCAAAGGGCAGCCACCAACACAGCTCCTAGGCATTTGGTCTGGCTCCTTGAGTCCCTGAAAGCCTGAAACATTTCCTATTCAGCCCTTCGAGGGGATCTGGGATCAAATCCCAGGTCTGCTATTTAGTAACTGTCTGACCTCTCTGAGCCTCACTTTGCTCTTCTGTAAAACAGGGATGACACCAACCTCACGGGCCTCTGGGTACCAGACCAAACCAGCCACTAGACAGAGCGGTGGCCGTGTGCTTAGGCAGTGGCCCAGCAGGGCAGCCTGTGCACTGTGGGGTGCTGGCTCACCCTCCTCCACTCCAGCCGGGCGGGCAGGGTTCTGAGTGAAAGACACTACCTCGCTGAGCCACCAAGAACCCTGAGGCAGGTGCTACTGTCGACCCCAGGCGACTAGAAGAAGAGACTGAGGCTCAGAGAGGTTCGGGAACCCGCCCGGGTGCATGGCGAGGGGTCACCTGGCTCCAGAGACCCGGCTCTGCATGGCTGGGACGAGGTGGTCAGCGGCTGACTAAAACAACAGACCAGTGAGAAATGAACAAATTGAAGTCACAACTTATTTTAAAAAGTGAGAAGTGGACAGACTTTCCCCTCAGATGGGACTGCTTATTTGAATAAAAATCTCACACTGATCTGCTAAGTTCACAGTGACGCCCTAAGCAATCCCAGCTCCCCAGAACGTCTGAAGGGGCGGAAATTTCACAGGCTTTTTTCTTATGATAGGGCTTACCTAGGGCGGCATTCAACGCCTGCTGACTTGACTGTGTGTGGACACCTCACGAGGACAGAGGCTGGGCCTGAGCTCAGGCCTGACTCTGGGCAGGTGGCCCAGCCTCTCGGAGCCCATTTCCTCACTGGTGAGGCCAAGAGGACACCTGCCTCTTTACAACCTCCTTTGTTTTTCCACTACTGATCAACCTCAACGTTCTTGAGGCAGTACCAGAAAACAGAAGCAGCACATACACCCGCAAGTCACGGAGCAACGTGTTCTATTCAGCCTTCCTCCTAATGCATCATAACTACCGCAGGAAGCCTGATTCGGCTCTTCCGGCCCTCCAAAACCTCCCCATTAGCTCCAAGGAAATTAAATGCCTACATTAAAAAATGCCCGGAAGTGAATGACATTTTTAAAAATCAGTTTCGGGAGGGGGTGTGGTATAAGAGGACTAAATGGTAATGGGAAAAAAGTACGATAAAGATTAAATTTTTTAAAAAAATAAGTTTTCATGCAGATAGTTTTGACAGCTTTGTGTCCTTCTACCAACTAAAATAAAATTATAGCTTTTCAAGAAAATACTACTTTGGATCAAATTTAAGAATGTGCAGAATATACAACACCAAGGGTGAACCCTCATGTAAACTATGGACTTTGGGTGGTGATGACATGTCAATACCGGTTCGTCCACTGTGACAAATGTCCCATCTGGTGCAGGAAAGGAAACTGTGGGGGAGAGAGGCTGAGGGGGCCAGAGGGGCATATGGAACCTCTGTACTTTCTGCTTAGTTTTGCTGGTGAACCTAAAACTGCTCTAAAAAAGACAGTCTATTAATTTAAAAACACAGCAATATAATGAAAAACACATCATTTTTCTGTGAAAAGATAACATAAGATATGTTAGTTGCTGTACTTTGTGTTTTAATTCAGAATAAGCCCAGTGCAGGACTGAGCGAGGGGAGAAAATGCATCAGCTGCAGTTACCTTCAAACCAACTTTTAATACTATTAATGTTTTGTCTTGTTTTTTATTCACTGATTTTTCGCTGGTTGGTATATTGAGCTCAGTTTCCTCATCAGCTGCATGCTAGGTGAACCACATGTGGCTTCTAACTGAAAATTTCTGATTCTCTTCCAATTATTTGCACAGGAGTGATTTTTCTCTTCTTTCCAAGTTCCAGGGTCTCTGCCTCCCTGTGACACCCACTCGAGGGGCAGATGACAGAGGAAGACACCACCTGTCTGACTAAAGGCACTACCAGGTTGGTGCTTGAATGTCACACTGAGACGCAGTGGCTGTTTCCAAGGAAGCATCGGTCATTGTGTAGCTAGACATTCCGGTGCCAGGTCACATTGCTCTGCTGTTGATTAGACGCTACTTTGTATTTTAAAATTTGACATCTGTATCTCAGTGAGCAGTTAACCCCTGGTGTGCAGACACAGTGTTCTACAGTCTCCAAATAATATGCAACATAGGAAAATTAAAGAAATAGTTAATAAATAACAAAAAAAGATGTAAGACAATGTCAGGTTAAAAAAGTAAGCTGCAGAACAACATAGTTAGTAGCTTTCACCTGAGTGAAAATATTAAACTACAAAGGATAATGAAAGTCTGAACAGAAGTTACCTCTGAAAGGGAGAAAGGGGGTGGGGAAGTTAGAAGAGGAACATGCATTTACTTCACCCCCTCCCATTCTGTTTGTCTTTCTTACCATGAAAAGAAATTCTTCTTACAAACATAAACTAATAAAAGTTAAATGTCTAGCTGAAATTTATGTAAGAAACATGTCGCCAAAGGAGACGGGCCTGCCACCCCAGGCATTCTCTGAAGGGAGAGAGCAATGTCCACTTTACTTTGGACTATGGGCAAAAGGGCACTTTCTGAAATTGCTGCTGAGGTTTAAAATTCACCCTCAGGCCACTGGCAAAGCACTCGGTAAAAATACTAGTTAGGCTGGCATGTCGTCACCACTGTGACCGGCGACAGCCAGGAGCCGCTCCCACCAGGGCGTCCTACATGGGCCCCTCTGCCCGCAGCCGGCGCCCTCTCTCTGAACACACTAGCAAAGAATGAGGGGGTGCTCTGCCTCTCAGCCCACTGTGCCCCCACGTACAGGTGACCCTGGGCAGCACCACGCGAAGGCACAGCGTTTTGAGATGGTCTCTTTGTGGTGGACCATCAGCGCACACTTACTTCCAGCCATCATTTTGTCTTTCGCGAGTGGGTGTGTTGTGACTTTGCTTCCAAAACCTATTTCATGAGCCAAGAGAGCCGTGGGACCTAAAGAGGAGATTAATAAAGAGAATTAAGTGTAGACAGAAAAACCCTTATTTTAAAAATTGCAAAAGCGTTCTTCAAAAGCAACAGGCTCTTCCCAAAAATATGATTCTGAAATTATATACTTCTTAGTATGAGAGATCAAGTATATTTACGTATTTATTTTTTAAAAGATTTTATATATTTTTAGAAGAGGGAAAGGGAGGGAGAGAAACATCAATGTGATGTGCAAGAGAAACATCAGTCAGTTGCCTCTCACACACCCCCAACTAGGGACCCTGGATCACAACCCAGCCTGTGCCCTGGCTGGAATCGAACTGGTGACCTTTTGGTTTGCAGGTTGGTGCTCAATCCACTGAGCCACACCAGCCAGGGCAAAAGTAGACTTATAATAAACGGTCTGATGAGCACTTCTGGCAAAATTGTACAAATTCAAAATACTTCAAAAACCATTCAATCACAAAGATTTATCTTGACATCAAGGAGCACACAGACAAACAGACCACAGCGCTGCCTCAAGGGGCTGGCAGTGCACGCACTGAGGGCGCAGACGCAGGGAGGCCGCCACAAGCGACCCGTGTGCCTTTCTCTTAGCAAAAGAAAAATTACTTACACATTAAAGGCAACTGGGACTCTCTGAACTTCTGGACTTGACTGCTATTTCGCAGACCAATTTTATTTTTTTTACTTGAAAATAAAAAATCAGCACTCATCCATCCATTTAGCCATCCAAACATACCAGGTAGTAAGATTATTAAAATGAAGAGAATACTGTCCAGCCCTGAAGGAGGTATCTGTGAAATGTCTGCAAGTCTGAGATATGAAGACACCAGCATTTCTTTATTAAAACTAAGAACCATGAACAAATGTTGGTTTGTGTTCCTCCATACCTTCCCTCTTAAAATAAAAATGTAAGAAATATGCAGTCACTGACGAGATTTTTATCAAAATGTATTCACTGAAATGGTCAACTTCATTGACAATCACAAACATACTTTGTGCATAATGGTTCTCCAATGAGGACAAACCAAAAAGGTTTTTAGACCTGTTTTACATTATCTTAAAACTTTTTGTTGTTCACTTACTTATGCATTCATTGATTGATTCTTATGTGTCCTCCGACCAGGGATGGAACCTGCAACCTTGGCATATTGGGACAATGCTCTAATCAACTATGAGCTACCTGACTAGGGCTTGAAAACTTTTTAAAAAATAGCTATTCTACCTTTTTTTCCTAAGCCACACACAAACCTTTCTAAGACCTCATGTCACGCCTAGAAAAACATGCTCCTGAACTGCACCTTGACCTTCTGACTGATTCAGGCACTGCGGCTAAGACACTAGGACAGTCCGTACACTTGAGCCTCAGCAAACCTGAGAACTGGCTCTTACTGACCTTTCATTTTGCAACATGATTCCAAGTAAAAAGCAGTTATATAATAAACCAACAGGCTACTCAGATCATAGCTGCTCAAAGGAAGATCAAACAAATAATATGTAATTACATAAGCTTTCTGCCAGCATCAGGTGTCAGCTTCAGACCAGGTCCTGACATAGCTGTTAAATCAAAAGCCTCAAACATATTTGATGTCTCTCTCCATCTTTTATCCTCAGTATGAGACAGCTATGTAGGGCAGCAAATTTTAACGCTAAAAAATTGCATAATTATCACTTAACTTTTATTTGAATGAATTCATGAATTACCCTTTATTCTAATTTTGTAAGGTTTTAAGAAATAATTACCTACATTATATTTTAAAGCAAACCTCAAGAGATGATTGTACAGTGAGGAGAGTGGTCATACAGTGACTCAGGAATTTTTAGGCTGCTCCTTTCAGGTGATAAAATTTTGTTATTTACAATAATGTATCAATAAACATATGTTACAGTTGAACCAAGGAATTTACTCATGCCTTACTCATTAGCGTAAGCTCTTAATTACTGCTGTCTGGAGCTTAAAAATTCTATTTGGAAAAATGAGAGAAAATATATTTAACTACTGCTGTTACTTCAAATTCTGCAGGGACCCAGCCCTGAGCAGGGACTGGGGAAGGGGGACAGATGGAATCCCTTGGGCAACTAAGAGGAGCGGGCCATCGGCGCCACCGTGTGGTGACTTACAGAAAGAACACCCCAGCCACTCCCCACTCCCTCCGAGGTCCCTGAGACAGTACCTAGACTCGGCGACCACTGCTGGCTCCTTCACTTCCAGGCTTCCTTCCCCTTCCCCTACCCAGAGTGATCTCATTTTATTTTACTTTATCTTCATGATAGTCTCCCTTCCAATTTCTCTCTCTCTCACTATTAGGGGCCAAGCTACTATTCTTTCAGTTCACTAAACAGTTCCCAATTTATGAACGATTCCCAATTTATAGCATTTAAGAATCATCTCAGGTTTCATCACACCCCTCTTTTTGCAGCACCCCGGGGAGCGGCGCAGCATACTCGGCAACACAAACACGCTGTTACAGTGCTGTTACTTTTAAACGCCAATTTAAATGATTCAAGCAGTAAAACTTGCCTGAGCACGACACAGTGAACCAGGTGGGGCTGATAACTGCGTTATCCTAGTGACAGCAAAGGACAGACTGACGGGTGGTTTCCCCTTCCGGCAGAGTCATGAGGGAACACCCCAGCCCCGGGCCTTCCTTTCCTCCTCCAGTGACAGTTCCGAAGAATGAGCCTGGGGCCAAGGCAAGGGGACCAAGTCTTCACACAACCAAGTGGACCCTTGGCTCTCTCCCCAAAGAGCGGTGCGGCTCCCCAGGGACTGCCCGGCCCTTTCGCAGAGATAAATCCCTGCGCCCCATGGGCAGGTCAAGAGGCTGGTGTTAAGCAGGACCCAGGACAGGGCCAGCAGGGTGGTCCCCTCCGTGGCCAGGCCCCAGTCCCTACTGTAGCGGTTCTCAAACACTGAGGTCTCAGGAACCCTCTAGCTTTTATGTGGGTTCTCTCTCTCAGTAACTGTCCAATTAGCAATTAAACCTGGGAAGTATTTACAATACAAGAATCCTCGAGCACGCACGCCATACCCAAGTAATGACATCAGCACACTGTTGTCACTCCTGTGAGAACGAGAAGGGAAAAGGTACATCATGTCTTCACAGTATCTGCTCTGACCTTTCGAACCCTTTGAAAGAAAGCTGAGAACCGCAGCTCTAATGCGAAGTCCCCAGGATCCTTAACCATTAACTTCTTTTAAAAAGCCTACTGTATTGAACAAAACATCACTTGTACCATTTTATCAAATCCATCCATTCGTTCATTTATTCCACTTTTTTTTTAATCCCCACCCAAGGACATTTTTTCATTGCTTTTGAAAGACAGGAAAGGAGAGCAACATCTATGTGAGAGGAAAAAACCATCAATTGGCTGCCTCCTGTACATGCCTGGAACAATGATCAAACCTGCAACCTAGGTATGTGGCCTGACTGGGAACTGAACCCCTAACCCCTGGTTTACGGAATGACACTCCAACCACCTGAGCCACACCAACCAGGGATATTTCACTCTTGACAAACATTTAACAAAGGCCTATAACAAGGGAGGCACTGGTCAAAATTACAATAAGGGAAAAATGCAAGATGGCAGAAGATCATCTGGTATTAGAGCAAGAACGGATTTTAAAACGGGATCAGGAATCAAAATATGACCATTTCAAAGATGTGGGGACAGCCTCGAAGCGCCACTGGCCTCATTCTAAAGGACGGGGCAGGTATGCATCTAGCACTCAGCACTCAGGGTCGGGCAGGAAGCCCCCGAGGCCGCAGGGCGGGCGCAGGGCAGAGCGGTTATGTTTATGCCTGATGATTCCGCTGACTGTGCTGGCAGGAATGCTTCCTGGCCCGCAGATCTGCTGCAACAAGCTGGTTACTGAATTCCGGAGGGCCAGATTCTCCCCCGAGGTCAACCAAACACAGAAAACACAAAGTTTCACAGAATGCAGAGCAAAGGCACGGACAGGCAGAAAACAACAATGGCACTCATTTCTGAAACGACCCCACCATGCCACCCAAACTGAAAACGCGGCTCCAGATGCCTTCCACGCTTCACCAAGGGGAAGAAGTACTTGGAACAATGTCTTGTAAGTACCGAGAACTCTGTCACGTAGTTTCTGGAGAAAAGCAACACCACATGGAAGCCCAGACAGTGGAGCACAGTACCTGCACAGATGGCGGCTATGAGGCCCTTCCTGCTTTCCTGGTCCTTCAGTATCTCCTTCACGGCAGCAGACTGTTCAAAGAAGACCACAAGCACATCGAGTTCTCATTCAGCCATGAGCCAGAATCTGCCGGCAACCTTAGTAGAATCTGATTTCAGCTTAAACCACATGATCTTAAATCTAACTATTTCCCACCCCCGCCCTCGTGCTATAAAGAGAAAGAACTGCAAGTGAGGGGGTGTGGTGTTTGAGGGTCTTCAGGTGGCAGAGTCAGGAAAAGTCGCACAACCCCACATGTCCAACTCCACCTGCTTCACGAGCTTGTCCGCTCCCCCTCCCGCACGACCCTGTGACCCGTGGCCTCCTTCATACTGTCTTCCACTCAGGCTGGCAGGTCCAGCCCCTGCGAACCCCAACCCCGACTCCCCAGCTGCTGAGAAGAGAGCCAAGCTCTTATCCTTCCATGCGCAGCCCTGCACAGAACAAACTTTTTCTTCTGCTGCTGAGGGGGGAACAAAGTCATCTAACATTCAGGCTGTATTCTCCAAACATGTTCATAAGTAACTGTCCACTTCCAATTCAGCTTACTTCAGCAGCGTATGTCATTAGAAATGGTTTTTTAAAATTAAATTAGGATTGTTCATTTCACCTGTTCCTATTATGTTCACAGCCTCCTTCCTGAAATATTTTAGTAACAACAAAATCAAGAGAACATAAACAGAAGATGAAAAGCTTTCTTCATACGGTTCTCACCTCACATAAATTCTGTGCGCCCACGTTACCTCCTGGCAGAACCACTACATCGTAAGGCCCCTGTAACAGTTTAAAAAATAAAAACAGAAAGTGAAAACATTTCATTTGAAATGGGCATTAAAGTGACAATCAACAAAACTTTCATATTTTGGCCCTGGCTGATGTGGCTCGCAGTGGACTGAACTCCAGCCTGTGAACCAAAGGGTCACCAGTTCGATTCCCAGTCAGGGCACAGGCCTGGGTTGTGGGCTGCATCCTCAGTAGGGGGCGCGTGAGAGGCAACCACACACTGATATTTCTCTCCCTCTCTCCCCCTCTAAATGTTTTTTTTTAATTTAAAAATAAAGCTTTCATATTTTAAATATGGGTTCCTGCGAAAAACTGTTCACAGAACAGTTAAATAAACTGTGTATCTCTATGATGGAATGTGGAAACCAGCAAACAAAATATACAGAAAATCTGTACACAATACCATGAAAGATACTACATATTGCAAAACTGCAGGTGTAGCATGACCTCATTCTTGTAAGAAGAAAAACAACTGCACGTCCATGTGCACGGACATATTCTACAGGCACACTCCCACGTGCATGTGTACAGCACAGATACTCACAGACAAGGGAGCTCCCCCAAACGCCAGTGGGGTGGGGTGGGGTGGGATGGAGGGAGAGAGGGAATGAGACGCTTAACATTGTGACTTTATGTACATCTACACTGTATAAGTTACTTTTCAACAAGAATGTACACATTAATCAAATATAATCAAAATAAAAACAAATTTTAAGTAAAAGTCAAAGGAAAACATTTTTAACTTTATGAAAAATGAAAGCTGGAAGGAGAAATGTGATGTCATATTTTAGTATCCTAAACAACATCCTAGAAATCTCATGATTTCAAATTTGCTGAAATTACAAAATGGAAATCAGTTTAACAGTAATACCTTCACTGTTTTAAAAAAGTTTAAAAAACTTAGCCCTGACCAGGTAGCAACCAACAGAGGTAGCTCTGTTGGTTGGAGCATTGTCCCTATGCGCCAAAGTTGTGGGTTCAATCCCCAGTCATGGCACAAAAATCATTAACAACCTGTGATCATATAAATAAGTGGAACAAATTGATGTCTCTCTCTCTGTCTCCCTATTCCTCTCTAAAAATCAATACAGAAAAAAAGAAAAAAGAGGGAGGTGGGGTGGGATGGGCGGACGAGGGCAAAGGGGGAAAAATGGAGACAACTGTAACAGAATAAACATGATTTAAAAAAACAATAAAAAAGTTTAAAGAATTTAGTCATCAAGCAAATTACAAAATGAAAATTCAATATATTTAGAGCAACCTCTATTATTTTAGAATTACTTTTAGAGACTATAAACATCCTGCTGTTGTTTTAAAACCAAAGAAAACAACACTAAAAAAGAAAATATGTGATGCATACAATTTATTTTACTTTTTAGATTCTGAACTGACCATAAATAGACACAAAAGGTAACAACTGTTCTAAACTACAACAGGATGGAAAAAAAACAGAAAAAATATTTATCTCGACTCTTAATTTTAGCATACTATTTACAAAGTTTCAACAATTTATACGTAAATAACATTCTAATGCTCCACAATTTGTATCTTGGAAACATCTGAACTTACTAGAAAGGAATGAACTTTTTCCTATGCATTGAGATATCCTAAGTATGGGGACTTAGACTGCCAGGTCCCCCGGGGGACACAGAGGGCCATCACGAGCTGGCTCTGCCTCCTTCTCTCAAGAGGGCACAACCCACGCACCTGCCCCCCAGCCGGGTGAGCCGGCACCCCACGACAGGGGGTCCAAAAGTGTCTATGCACATGCAGGCGGGCATGGTTCTGAGGAGAGAGACTCCAGCTTTTGACAGATTCCCCGAAGTGCTGGTCACCCCCAAGAGGAAGAACCAATTCTGAAGACACTGAAAAAGCGACACAATTTAAGTGGAACTCCTACTCCTTCTTTAGTCCATCCACTTATCAAGCATGAGTTATTCCACCAGAATCACGCCTACTTCTGTATCGCTGCAAAGGGAAGGTACAAAGCAGCTTTGAAATAAAGAATCAGAAATGAGTGGAAAACGTGGTAGCTGATCCTCTTACAGAGGAACAGAGTTCGGACAGGAGGCGCAGCTGCCTGTGTGAGCCAGCGAGCAGTGCTGGAGGTGTCCCAGCCGTCCCCCTACCCACCCAGCCGCTTCTGGAGCACACTAGGGACCAGGGAGCTGCCAGGTTCCACGCACACACGGTGGAGAAAGGCAGAGTCCTCCATTACCCAGGCTTAGCGTGGGGGAGACATTTGAGCAAAACAACTTTCCTAAAATAAGTAGGTGCTAACAACAGCCTTAGATGTACTCAAAGGACATTTCAAGACACTGATAAAGAAGCCATAGGGAGCACTAATTCCAAGGATGGAAAACACACCTCTTTTTTTGCATCTTCCAGACTGGTGTCAGGACAAATGACCACATCTCGGCTGCACTGCACAGGGTCTTTTCCAGCCAAACCCGCAACAGTGACCTTAATCTGAGAGAAAGACGTCACCATGATATTTAAGAACGCTGAAACACAGAGTAACATTTCCACAGCTACCCTGTGTTTTAAAATAACTTGACAGGAAATAATGCAACAAAACCATGCTGACTTGAAGCTGATAAACTGGCAATATGTGTTTAATAACTGGGTCTGCTCCGGTTTGCCTGGGCCAGTGCTGATTCAGATGCTGTCCCAGCGCCCGGTCTGGTTAGCGCCTTTTCTCCCCCAGGTGTTCCGGTTTGGGAGATAAATTCTATGATCATTCTATCAATAATCCATCCTGCAGTTACTGTTGCCATAAAAACAACAAAATGCCACTTCATCTTGCAAAAATTTACGAAGTTGACAATACCAAGAGCTGGAACAGGAAAATGGGAATTTTCCTCCACCACTGGCCGGCCCACATTTGTCCGTTGGAGTCACTTAACAGAATCTAGTAACACCAACCAGGGGCTTTCCTGTGGCCTAGCTAGTTCACTTACTGGCTTTGAGCCTGGACAAACTCAAGCACATTTGCACAAGGAAGCCTGCACAAGAATAATACACTATTGTAATGCCGTGAAACAACGTAACAGAATGAATTCAGGGAGAGACTGCAGCAGCGGTTCATGGAGCGTTAATACCAAGCAGCAATTTTAAATAAACCACCTGGATCCCCGTGGATCCTCACTGCTGAGAACCAGAGGCAGGCAGGCTTGACAGACCCTGGGGCCCGGCCGCCAGGGCCCGAGCACAAGCACAAGCTCCGCTCCTTACTAACTGCGCAGTGTGGGCGCCTCATTCTGTGTCTCTCGCATCAGTTTCTTCAACGGCGAGGTAAGGATGGCGATAACTCACAGGGCTGTTCTAAGACTGCAACGAGTTTCTAGAAGTGCTTAGACTGAGACCTAGCACTCGGTAAATGCTATTTAAGTGTTCACTATGGTTACTTAGCATACACAGATACACAGAGATTTGTTACAGACACTCAAAATGAGAGCTAGTCTAACACTGCTTTATCTCCGGTTCGGAAGGGGAAATGGATGGGGGGAATTTACAGAGTGCTTCGCAATGCTTCATTTCTTTAAAGCACCCGTTTTCAAGAAATACTCTGAAGGAAACAGGGCAAAGTGTTAACAAGTATTACCCGTGGACCGCAGATAAACAGATAATTGTTATGTAGCCTGTTACGTTTGAAAGATTTCATAAAGTAAACTTAGTATTATTTTGTTCCAAGTGACTTCTTAAAAATTAAGTTTATTGGGCTGACAGGGGTTAATAAATTTATACGGTTTCAGGAATACGATCCTAATCCTACCGCCCGCCCTCCGGACGCTGCGGCGTGTGTTCACCACCCCAAGTCTCCTTCCATCGCCACTCACTCCCCCTTCGCCCCCTGACCTCCCTGCACCCCCCTCGGAATGACTTTAAAAATCAAACCGGCTTCTCCGGGGCGAGGGCTAGACCACGCGCAGGGACTCACTCCGGCTCGCCGCATGACGTCCACGGGGATGACCGTCTCCATCTCCTCGGCCCCTTTGGCCAGGATGACCAGAGCTCTTTTGGAAGCCATTGTTACGTTGTATTTCGTAAGGACTTCATTAAAAAAAAAAAAAAAAAAAAAAAAAAAAGGTTTCACTATGACCCTGGAATATTTCTAAAATTTTCAACACATTTTTTAAAGTTTAGACATACTTTTTTTTTTTTTTAGACATACTTTTACGCAGAGTAACTAAGAGCCTCCCACGGGAAAAGTCCTGCTAAACAAACACAACTGAGTATGAAAAAAGCATTTTAGGGGAGTAGTGGTTCACACAAAATTTCAACTGCTGTATTTCTGAGAGAAAGCACAGTACAGTTGCTAACCCGCAGTTGTGGTAATTTCTCTTCACATGTTTTTAAAATTCCAGTCTCTACTATGGTGCAGGTGAAGTTCTCTAAAACACAAGGCCGTGGGTCTTGTGTTTCACACGATACGGGGAGATGGAAAGTCTTCTTTGAAGTACCATTTATAGAGGAATGACTAAATTTCATGGGCAAAAACCTAAATACATGGTCTTTAGCAACTAGCCTTGAAGATTTTTGGCGGGGATTTTTTTCTTTAGTTCTAATAATAGTATTAAAAATTCGGGGCGGGGGTTAACAACGTTAAACATCTGAACACATGCTTTTTATGACGGAGAAAGATGGGAATCTCCCCTTACTGAAAGCAACCCAATAGGTCTCTCACTGTAAACCGACAACTGCTACACCGGGGCCTAAACAGGCTGCAGCCTGTTTTCCCCAATGTGTTGTGCATGCAAAAGACTTCGATAAAAGTTAACTAGCTCCAAACTGGCACAATGCTATGCACCCAATTTTGGACGTTCTGGAGTTGCTACCAGGCCTGCAGCCGAAAGCCTATCGGCTTCTACTAGGAGGCCGCACGGTCCTCAGACACGGCGGGACGTGGGACGCCGTCTGGGAGGTGGGGGGTGCTTCATCCCGAGGCCCCGCCCCGGCGGCGCTCGACTGTCGCGCCGGAGGCCCGGCGCCCTCTTGCCACCCGCAGCGCCGAGGCCTGCGCACTCGCCACGCTCCCCGGGCCCAGACCTGAACCTCGCCTCTCCTCCTACAGACGCGGCTCCTCAGTCAGTTCGGCGGCACTGCTCCGCCAGCGACCACTGAACGAAAACCGCACTAAACAGGCACGTACGCAGGGACGCACGCGAGCACGCACGCACGCCGCCCGACACGGACCCTCGGCTCGGCGCCGCGCAGACGCACGTCGCTCGCGTTACGTCATATCCGGTCGGCGGAGCTCGGCTTGGAGAACCACGAAGAGTGGATTCTCGTTCCGCGTCCCGAGCGTTCGCTTAGCTTGGTTCTGGGTGGAACATCCAGCGCCACGAAAGTCCCGTGGACTCATGCATCCTCACGAAATCCTGCCCCCGAGTGGCACGGTCCCATCTAGTCACAACACCCGCTGGATTTAACCCGCTTTTCTGCCGCAGCCCATAGGTGCAACTCCCGACCGCAGAGCCGTGGCCCCTTACTTTAAACTCTCATTTTCCTAAAATAGAGTTGTACTGTCACGCTTTCTCTGTGCACGTCGGTCTCTCCCTGCACTGGTCCTCCTTCGGGAGCGCCTTCCCGTGTTGCCTTCGTTTTGGTAAGACTCATCAAGGTCGTCGTGGCTTTATCAACTCCACGTTCGGTCACCGTTTTTGGCGACTAATTTACGCGCAATAATTTCATGTGTATTCATTTCCCAGAGTTGTGTTTTTAAAGATTCCAGTGCTGCTTTTGCATTCAAAGAATTAGAGCAGTACTGAGAACTTAAGTCTAACAAGGACTTGATTAAATTTATTGAAGTTGTAATCTCAAACTTTATTTTTTAAAGTTTTTGAATATTGATACTTTTACCAGTTTCAAAACCCAAGAGGATCCCGGTTATATTGAACAGGCAGGCTCCTGGCCGCATCCAGTCTCATTTCCATCCCCAAAAGGTTGTTAGTGTCTGGGCATCTTTCCAGTATTTATGCAAGCACAAGCAAATGCAAATATATACTATTATTTTATCTTCTTTCTCATAAAACACTTTAACTCCCCTCCCCCCGCCCCCAATAGTGTATAAACTGGTGCTCTGCAGCTAACACTTAGGTTGTCTCCAATCGTTTTCTCTACAGACAGCCCTTCCCTGAATGGCCACCTTCGTCTGTCCTTGCGTCTGTCCTTGCGCAGCTCTAGCTGGAGGGTAAATTCCCAGAAATGGGAAATACGCTTGGCAAGTCCATGCAAGTTGAATCACCTTACGCTCTTACCATGAGTAGGTAATATATGAGGTCAAACAGTATTTTAAATGTGTTTACAAGGTTTCAGTTTAGATGTTAAAAACACTTATTTTCAAGAAATAGTTATTTTTCTTGCTTGGTTTACAGAACACTGTTATATATCTCATGTGAACCTTATAATGGTGGTGACAGTGGTTTCTATTCAGTTTTTAAAAACTGTAAATAGATTCATTGTTGCCCTCGTGCAAAAATTTTAAGTGGAATCATTTTTCCTTTTCAGAATAAAGCATTTTGGGAGTTCTGGAATGACTTCACCTTTGGCTGTTTGTAAAGAAAGCACGCAACCGCCACCCCCTTTTAGTTTGGAAGGAATGTGGGAAATAGAGACAGGCAGGGAGAGGGGCAAGTGGTAGGACACGTGCTTCAAGAACCAAGGAGGGATTTAGGTAGATGGAAAGAAAATCAAAAGAAGATGGGATGTTTCGCTCCACAGTTTTGCTCTTGTAAGGAGAAAACGATGCTGGTGACCTGCTGCAGCATGACAGCCACAACAGAATAAAAATGGCAACATGCTTCAGCTGTGAAAGGGGAAAGAACCTGAGTTAACACTCCTGAGACAACTGCATCACCATCAAGATCTGAAATGGTCCTAAGTGAGCATTAATTTTAATCAAATGACTAAATTACGCACATTTTTTTAAAACTCTGATATTAGCCCTGGCTGGTGTGGCTCAGTGGATTGAGTGCCATCCTGCGAACCACCGGGTCGCCAGTTCAGTTCCCAGTCGGGGCACATGACTGGGTTGCAGGCCAGGTCTCCAGTAGGGGGGCGCACAAGAGGCAACCACACACTGATGTTTCCCTCTCTTCCCCTCTCTCTAAAAATAAATAAATAGAACAACTCTTGATACTAATAGTAGATTGCATTATTTTTTCAGAAATACTGACTCTCATCTGCATGAGTGGAAGAGACTTTGCTCATTGACTTTGGGTCTGTCCTTGTTTTGGCTAATGGAAAGTTAACGGAAGTGGCCTGAACAAAGCCCTGAAAAGCACTGACCTGGTGATTACACTTCGTCTCTTGTCCTTTTGCGTTGTTGTAGGAAGAGCTTTCCCCCAGGAAAGGTGCTGCCACGCTCCCTAAGTGGGTTTCAAAATGAGCACACATGGAACAGAGCTGCCCCAGCCAATCTACCTGTTTCTGAGCCAGATCGCCACAGCCAAATGGAAGACTGTGGTACTCAGGGTTTTTATACAGCAGTAGCACATTAATACAGCATTAAAAGACCCATGATGAAAAATAGCAGCCTTCTCACTCAGTCCTTTGTGCCCCTCAGTCCCACTCTTCAGAGGCAAATGTTTTCAGCTCTTTAAATTATTTAATCTGATCATTATATCTGTTTTTAAACCCTACACTAATACTGTTACTTCTCACTTACTGGTTTTAGACATCATATATCACCTTCCTGGCAGGTAGTAACAGTTCTCATTTCACAGATGCAGAGGTTGAGGTCCAGAGGGGTGAAATGGCTGCATAAGGTCCTGCAGAGTCTTGATCAACTTCAGATGTTCTGATGCCAAATTTCACACTACACACAGGAAACTCTATCAGTATTATTTAAAAAGTAACACTCATGATACTCTCTTAACTTTAGTTCATACCCATTTCTCATCACACATTCACAGTACAAAATAAAAATTAAACCACTTACCAAAAAAAACATTGCTCTAGGGTGGTAATGAACACACTTCCTAGTTCAACCTCTTACTTCCAGGTAGGACAATCCCATGCACCTTATTTTTTATTCAACAACTCAGCATTTTGCAAGTTTTCATGCATTGTGGGAGGCACACATGCTAAAAGACTCACCAGTTTCTTATATCACTTGAAACAATTAAGAAATACTGTTCTGTTCTCTGGAGCTCTCAATCCAAGGATGGAGAAACAGTGTTGGTAACATTAGTGAAGGAGTTTAGGACATGCCACTTCCAAACATACTGTCTTAGCATATTGATTATTCTGAGTTAAAGACATTTGGAAAACAGCAGGTGCAAAAGAGTCACTGATTCTTTTTTTTTTTTTTTCCTTCCTGAAAGCAGAAGGTGAAAATCTCTTATGAAAACAGCCCTCCTCCCTATGCCAGGAGTAGAAAAACATTTTTACCACCAGAGAAGGAGTTGAGCCTGGCAGAATTTGTGCAAAGAGATCTTGTTAAGATCTCTTCCTTTAAGATCTCTTCCTTTAGTCACATTTTACTTTTCCACAATTGTCACTCTTTGTTCAACCCACTATACGAGCATTTGTTTTGCCACTTCTTGGGCTCATTTCCTCATGAAGGCCTCGGTCACAATAAAACTTGTATTAAGTAAATGTGCAGGATTTTCCTCTCTTTTCAGGTAAATTTAATTCTCAGGCCCAGCCAGAGACCCTAAGAAGGTAGGGGTAGAGTTTTTGCCTCCCCCACGTTAGCAACAGTCACCCACGGCCTTTCGCATCCTGGATCCAAAAGCATATCTCCCTAGAATTGGCCTGATCACAATAAATAGCAAAGAAACTGCTGCCAGGTTATTTTTTTCCCCGTGGGTCTCTTACATCTTGGATCTCTTCTTACTAAATAACACTTCCTTTGAATGTATCTTTTTATTTCATTGATAGTACTTACTCTAGCAATTTCTTGTCTTTTGTTTATTTATTTATTGTCTGCATCCCCTTCACCCTGTGAACTCCATAATGTGACCTTCCTGTCTTGGTCACTGCTGAGTCCCTAGCATCTGTTGAAGACCGTGGCACAAAGGGGACGCTCAATAAATGCTTGCTACGTATCATTCCAATCTCACCCAATATGATGCTTCTTCCTTTCTTAGGCTAGAGATTAATAGTTTAAATTTATAAAAACGTTACAGTTTACGATGACTTCAACCACTTTCCTTTTCCTATTTTTATCTTATTTCTCACGTCAAGTTCCTTTTACCGGATGGTGAATGAGAAGTTCTATGTGCAGCGGGAAGTTTACATTTTCACCAGTTTTCTATTCATCATAGGGAGCAGGGGTTAAACTGAAGTTACTGGGCATCAGGAAACCATTTGGGGCATTAAGTAAACGTGTTGTTCAACATCCATTAAAGACTGGTTCACGGTGTCTACAGAGGTCCGGCAGACACAGCGAATTTCCCCTCCCGAGCCCCCGAAAGGTTAGGTGGGCGAGCCCGGGGAAGAGTGGGCGAGCCCTGACATTTGAGGCAGCGCTGGAGTAAGGGGGAAATTCTGACACCGAAGGCTGTGAGGGGCTGCGGGGGACGGCTTAGCCTCCGCTCCCACCTCGTGTGAAATGCCCCCCAGCGTGGGCCAACTAGCACGACTCCTGTTGCCGGCCGGGCGCCAGAACTGGGCGGGCCGACCCGCAGTGACGTAAGGTGCGTGCGGGTGACTTGGCGCGCGGCCCCCGGCGGCGCCCGTGATTGGCCGAGCCAGGCCGCAGTGGGAGGCGTGTGAGGGGGCGGAGCAGGGTGCGTTCCCAGACGCCCAACTTTCTGCAGCTCCCTGAGGTCATTTTCAAGGCTGGGGCGAGCCGCCTGTGGCTGTTTGTGGGCGGTGAGAAGTTGTGAACGACCTGGCCAATCCTCTTGGGGTTTCCGTTGCACCTCGGCGACCCCGCGGACTTCCGGGGAAAGCTGCGGCCTGGGGGTGCGAGGCAGGAAATCCCACTTCCTCATCCCAGCTTGGTTCCGGTATACGAGGGATGATCCAGGGAACCACCGCACAGAACCTGTTTTTGACCCCGGGAGCCTTGGATGTTTTGACGAATCTATATCCAGGCTCAGTTGCATTCGGTGTATTAACCACCTCCTTGATCGCTCAGGCCCTGTTTTTTTCTTCTCAGCTCATCAGAAAACACTGCCATGCTCTGCTGTTATTGGCATCTTATTTCTAGAAGAAGAGAAGGGTCTGATTAGGGTTTCAATAATGGATTATCAAAAGCTTTAACACCT